TTTTTAAAAGTAATGTGTTATATTACTCGTTACTTTGAAAAAAGTTATATTATTACGTAAGGCGCGTTACTTATAACGCATTGGTCACACTGCACTTTTCTCCCCATAGACTTCCATTCATACGCACACAAATGCGTCAGACCGGAAACGCAAACTTGTGCGACAAGTTTCGCAGTGCGCTGTGTTGAAAAGTTTAAGCTCGGTCAACTCTGACCTTTGAAATCGCATCACTAGACTGCGTGAGACCAATCGAGGATCAAAACAGGACCTCTCATGACAGACAATTAAAACATGGACCAATCGCTCACTTTTCAAATGTCTAATCATCTTATTTAATCCCGCCCCTTTTCGCAGCGCTGTTCGACAGAATTTCGCACCAACAAACTCTAGTGTGACCGCATCTTTACCCCCAACACTGCATAAGACACAATAAGATGGAAATAGTTTAAATAAATGATTCTCATTAAAATTATTACTGGATATTTTAGAATTATGCTGCGGCAGGGCCGGAGTGGGACTTTTCAGCCCTGGAGTTTCGAGCCTTAGACCGGCCCACCTCAGTTCACGACTGACTATATTAAAATAAGGTCATTTCGAATTCAGTTTCTAATGACACGATCACGTATTTTTCCAGAAAACAGCTGCTTTATATGTTGAAATGTTCAACAACCCAAACAGTATTTTATGTCTTAACAATAAAAATGAAAAAATAAAATAAAATAAATAAATTCAATTAGATAGGTAAGGATAGAACTCGGGTCCTACAGTGTGGTAACACAAGGTGCTGACCACTGGACCACAATGGCGCCATTGTTAAAAACATGTCTATTGACGGCTTAATCTTTTTCTCCCCTTTCTAGATTTCTGATCAAGTTATGTCAGATTTATTAATGTAGTGAATCATCTGATTTTCATTGAGCAGGTGTAATATTCATTAATATTAATTATTCGAATTCTTATATTCACTAAGGTGCCGCTGTTTGGGGTCGAATAATAGTTACGTCATCATTAACCTGCAGGCTGAATTTTGCTCACGGGGCTGCGAGAAAATAAATAAAAAGCGCGGAGCTGCGGCAAAATAATGAATAAAAAGAGTGAGACCATGGTCAAATACATAAATAAATGAAAAAAAGTGCGACTGCTGAGAGTGCAAGCAGCTAGGGACACTGGCCCTCGCGGCCAAAAAATGGACCGGCCCACTGGGAATTGTCCCGTCCTCCTGATTAGCCAATCCGGGCCTGTGCTGCGGTCACATTAGAGATCGAGTTCGTGAAATTCTGTCGTACGGCACTAAGAAAAGGGGCGGGATTAAACGAGATGACTAGACATTAAAAAAGGCGAACGATCGGTCCATATTTAAAATTTCTGTCCAGAGAGGTCATGTTTTAATCTTCGATTGGCCTCACACAATCACGTGAAACGATTTCACAGGTCAGAGTTAACTGTCCATTGCAGCGAACTGCGAAACTTGTCGCACAAGCTTGCGTTTCCGGTCTGACGCGTATAAATGTAAGTCTAGGGGGAGAAAAGTCCAGCAGCTTCATTGTGCTCATATCAACAAGTCACCGTCAGCACTGATCATGCATGTTTTGCAATGAGATGCAACTTATCAATAGGGATGGCTGACGTGAAACTGATGTTTCGACACAGTGTCGAGATCCCGAAGCGCAAGTGTTTCGAAACACTGCACCGAAGCATTATCCGAAGCACCCAAGTCACGTGACTAAAGTGTTTCGAAACAGCTAGTCACGTGACTAAAGCGATTCAAATCATCGATCAACTTAGAAACGTTTCGAGACCTGGCGAATCCTCATTTGATTGCCAAGGTCAACAAATATTCTCTGTCTCATGTGGCTTAGAGGACTGTGTGTTTGCTAATTGATTCTATGCTCTGCATGATGTTTTGGGTTCGAATCCCGACTTGTACAAATGCTCTGAAATCATGGTTTTATGTATTTTAATCATGTTTCTGTTTTGTGTAGCCTAAATAGGATACAGCTGCAGTTACGCCATCAATTTAGCATCATTTTTGTAACACTGTAAAACAATAATAAATATTTTTACAGTATGGTTGGGTTTATGGTTTGGGTAGACATTAATAAAATACAATAAATGGGAAATTTAATGAATAATATAAATAATTCTTGATAACTTCAGGTCACCATTTTTGATCTAGCAACAACCCTGTTTTAAGACAAAAACAAGACATATTTATTCACAAATTGTTCATTCGGATATCAGACCAATGTTGAAACAAAACAATACAAGAGCAAAGCATTACCAACTGGTATTACAGCATTTCAAAACAACTGTGACAGCCTGGCTTCGAAACCTACTAATCCTGCATGGACATCTGACTCCTTAACCACTGTACTATGTTACTTGAAGGATCAATCATACAAATTTGACTTTAATGCCTCAATTTGTTCAACTGTTCTTTGCTGAAGCTGTTTCAGTGCAATACATAAAAAATGACCACTAGATGTCACTGTAGAGTGGGGTTTCGAAACGTTTCGAAGCTTCGACACATTTGCTTCGACTGTTTCAGTGTTTCACGAAGCCTCGCTTTGCCCACCACTACTTATCAATGGTTGCATTTCACAGATGAGGAGATCGTGGACACTGATGGCGAGGTGAACAGAACGAGTCCTCAATTGGACAAGCAGTGAAGGAAAGGTGCCAGTTTATAATGGGTGGTGATGAGACTGCTGACAGGTGAGTTGCGTTAATAATCATGTGACCGTAGCAGTGTTTCTGTACAAAGATGCAAATTAGACTTGCAGTTGAAGTCAGAATTATTAGCCCCGCTTTCCTTCCCCTCCACAGTTTCTGTTTAATTGAGAGATTTTCTCAACACATTTATAAGCATAATAGTTTTAATAACTCATCTCTAATAACTGATTTATTTTATCTTTGCCATGATGACAGTAAATAATATTCGACTAGATATTCTTCAAGACACTTCTATACAGCTTAAAGTGACATTTAAAGGCTGAACTAGGTTAATTAGGTTAAGTAGGCAGGTTAGGGTAATTAGGCAAGTTGTTGTATGACGATGGTTTGTTCTGTAGACTATCGGGAAACAAATTAGCTTAAAGGGGCTAATGATTTTGACCTTAAAATGGTGTTTAAAAAAATAAAAAACGCTTTCATTCTAGCCAAAATAAAACAAATAAGACTTTCTCCAGAGGTAAAAAATATTATCAGACATACTGTGAACATTTCCTGAATCTATTAAACATCATTTGGGAAACATTTAAAAAAGAAAAAAAATCAAATGTGTGCTAATAATTCTGACTTCAACTGTGTGTACCTAAACGAGCACATGTCACTCCGCTGCTAGTCCGTTTGCACTGGCTGCCAGTTGCTGCTCGCATCAAATTCAAAGCCCTGATGTTTGCCTACAAAGTGACTTCTGGCCTTGCTCCTTCTTATCTGCTCTCACTTCTGTAGATCTATGTGCCCTCCAGAAACTTGCGTTCTGTGAATGAACGTCGCCTCGTGGTTCCATCCCAAAGAGGAAAGAAATCACTTTCGCGAACGCTCACGCTCAATCTGCCCAGTTGGTGGAATGAACTCCCTAACTGCATGAGAACTGCAGAGTCACTCGCTACTTTTAAGAAACGACTAAAAACTCAACTATTTAGTCTCCACTACACTTCCTAATCTGCAATTGCCTCTCTGAATATCACACTAACTGTACCCCAAAAAAAAAATACTAATACTACTAATACTTCCCTTCTTAGACTTTACAGACCTGAAACTTGCCTACAGCACTTATTCATTGTTGCTCTTGGTTGTGTAAATTGCTTCCTTGTCCTCATTTGTAAGTCGCTTTGGATAAAAGCGTCTGCTAAATGACTAAATGTAAATGTGTGTGTATGTGTGTGTGTGCACAGCAGATTTGGATTTTCTGCATCCCCAATCCATGTAAACTCGAAGCCAATGTACAGGTAACCCTCATTATATATGCGTTTCTTACTTGACATTTTCTCACTCTTTAGCGTAGACCTAATTCCCTTCATCAGTAGACCTCTGCTGGATTTCTCTGTTTCCACCTGAGCCTCTTATTCACCTTATTATAGTCTGTGGTGAGGTTTTAGCTAATAGCAGTCTTAAGCCCTCACACATGTTTTGTCCGGCACTTACAAACAAGACACGGCCACTTACATGACATGCAAAGTGTTTTTTTGTTGTTTTTTTTTTAAGGAAAATCGATTTTCGTAATTGTGATTATTGAAGTATTAGTTCCTGTAGTAGTTGATGTCGTTGGTATAGTGGTAGCAGAAGTAGTAAAAGTGTCGTTGTAGCAGTAGTAATCGTTGTTGGTGTAGTAGTACCAGTAGTAGATGTCGTTGATGTAGATGTTGTAGTAGCAGTGATTGCGGTAGTAGTAGTAGTAGTAGTAATAGTAGTAGTAGACGTTGTATTAGTTGTAGCAGACGCTGTAGTATCAGTAGTGGTAGTCATTGTTGTGGTAGTATCAGCAGTAGTAGACATTATAGTAGTAATAGTTGTGGTTGTGATTGTAGTAGCAGCAATAGTAGTTAATAATTATATAGTAATATAAGTCACTTTCTGCAGTAGTAGTAGTTAGGGTAGTACTTGTGATTTATTATCATTGTCATTTATTATTTCTGTTGTCCTTTCTTTCTTTTTACTGTCATTATTTCTATTATACATTACTAAGCATAGTTGTTGCTCCCTAACTCTGACTGGTTTCTTCTGTATCTGTTTTACTTATATCTGCGAGACTAGATTCATTTATTGGCTAACATTGTTCCTAATGTATGTAATCTGACCTTCCACCAAGTTACCTTTACATGGACACACACACACACACAAACACACACACACACACACCTAACAGTACCTGACTATATAGTTTTTTTTCGTTTTTTTTTTGTTATGTTTTTTGTTGATGTTTTTTGTATTTGTATGATCCCAATTTATGTACCTTTTTGCATATTCTAAAAAAAAAAAAAAAGGAAAATCGATTTTCTGAGTACTGCAGCATCCACCAAGAAGCTCTAGCGTGCCAGATGAACTTCATAAAAGCTCATCCATTAGCTTCACATATTTTATTATTTTTTGTTTAGTCGCGTATACAGAAAATCTGTGTATTTAGTTATTGTAGTTAAAAATGTCGAGTTTAATCAGAGAAGGGGTGCTTGACAGGTGTCAAATATTAGAAAGGGGTGCACACAGCCACATTTTTAGAGGTGCGATTATCTACTGTTAACGGTATTGAGGGGTAAATCTAGATTATTCATTTGCTTTGGTTAAGACTGTTAAAAATATAATTCACTTCAGATAATCTTTCAGAAACTATCTGCTAATTAGGCCTAGATGTTTTTGTTATATTAACCCCTAAGTATTTTATTCATTTTTGATTGGAATATTTTATATTTTCGCATCCAAGGTGTCGTACAAGCAAATAATTTCACACTTTTATAAATTTAGTTTGAGTCCAGAAGCTCAGTGAATGGTTAAAGCAGGAGGAGCTTGATCTTTATCTTTAAAAAATGGCGTAGTGTCATCTGCTAATTGTGATATGCGAGTTTCTCTTTTAAAGATATTAATGCTTTTCCCATAAGCGTAATAATAATACGACGATATTTGTCGACAATAAACGTAAATAAAAGTATGACGTCATAAAGCAGCGCCGCAGAGCTGCGTAAACCCTGCGTCTGTTTTGATTCAGCTGGCGGGGAAAGGTTAGTGTTGTTTAGCTGTTTGTCTCTGTATTTCTATCGGTTTTGCACATGATATGATGTACAAAGTATCGTTGGATGCAGCATTGCCTTGTTTTACTTAACGTCTTGAACAACTTACGTTAAGCAGGAAAACCTCATCTTACAGCAAGCAACGAGAAAACGCCTCGCATTTCACTCCTCTCTGCATTATTAATGTGTTTATAATATTAATAACAGCAATATTAAAAGATGAGCAAGACGAGATGAAGAATGTTCATGATGGTCTTATTTCCAAAATCTGATTAACGTTAGTTAACTACGTTGCATGGTTATTACAGTGTTGTCCATATGTGTTGGAGTAATGTCACTTTAATGTTGTATTCATTTAGTTTCAGGCAGTAAATGCAACATATTACAGGTGTCGTTTTGCAGCTAAACTCCTGCAATGAACATTGAACAACCTTAGTCATATTCAGAACAAAGCAAATGAGTAGATTAATTGTGTCCCTGTAGATATTTACTCAATCTAAGACGTTTCAAACCAATCAAATGTAGTAACGGATGTTTGTTATATTAGCTAGCTAATGGCTGTTTGCAGGGTTTCCGATCGGGCCAGTGGTTCAGATTTTTAAAAAGAGAAGTTAATAGCTATGTCTTAGCCACATACAGTATTTAAAAAAAAATTTCAAAAGCCAAACATAATTGTAATACCTACCCTTTTTAATACAACTGACAATATAAAAAATTACAATTGTGATGTAACTAAATTTGATAGTTTGCGATGTGTGTGTATATATATATATATAAAATTTATATACACACATACGCATATACGTACCAGTCACATGTTTGGGGTCAGTTTTATTAATTTTTGCATGTTTTTTTTTTTTAAGACTGACTGACTGACTGACTAACTGACAGGTGCGTGATGCGTGAGGCCAGCAAACACAACATTTAGCCGTTTCACTTAACTTTAGGACGCATTAATGTCGCTCTGTAGGTCTATTGGAGACATTCATAAACATTCCTAGCAAATCTAATAAATGTTGGAGACATACTCGTTACATCAACGCACTAAATCGCACTTCAGCAGTGTTTATTTGAGAGCGCACAAGAAGATCTGCGCTTGAGCAGCGTATATTTGAGAGGGCGTGCGAGACGTTCTGTGAAGGAGCAGAAGAAATCGGCGCGCAAGCAAAGAGATTTGATGACTTCAAACCACACTGAACTGAGCTAAACTGAACTGAACTTAAACACTAAAAACTGAACTACCGTGATCCAGTTACTATGACAATTTATGTAAAGCTGCTCTGACACAATCTACATTATAAATGCGCTACACAAATAAAGCTGAATTGAATTTGCATGCTTGTTGGCTATTACACAAATGCTGACTTTTAATACTGCGCTCGCGACATTTGTCATTGAAATAACGCCGCAGGTTATTGGTAGATCTGTGTATAAAAAGGCCCGAGGAAACACTGTGCCTTATTTCAGTGGATTGTTTGGTGGATGTATTGACCAGTGGTGTAGTCGGGGCTATACACACACACACGTATACTCAGTATGCCTACTTTTTACCATGAGCTGTTTGGGTATTACGACTTCTGAGGATCAATAATTGCGTATACCCTCGGATTTTTTAACTTGTAATTGGTGCATATTTGCAATCGTATCATTATCGCATCTTTCCCCGTCCCCTGACGACCCAAGCAGCAGTGAGAAAAATTTCCGGAGTTTTTCGAAGACGATGACGAGTCAGCTAAATGACGTCTCGCTAACGCATTCATGTAATCTATAAAACAGCATGGGCGTTGCTTTAGCCCCCCTATTTTTCTATTCAGCCCCCCTAAAACTTCCGCGATTACCTCATGATCTGTACACTACTAAATGATCGCCTCAGTCCCCTTTGAATTTGATAAGAAAACAGCGACAGACTCCCGCTTCTCCATTTTCAACTCGTTTTTCATTTTAATCAGCAGACCGCGGCTATTCAAAGCGAGAGCGCTCGGTGCGCGTTTATCGATAGATTGTTATAATATCTGCATATATTTGCAGTTCATTGCCACGGAGACACTTGTATCGCACGTACCCCAATGGGTCATGGAGGAGCATTCCCCATTTCAAAATTAACTATGATTATAAAACGCATTAAAGTGCATGTGGCATTAAAGGGTCACGAAACACCAAAACACATTTTTTGAGCTGTTGACAGTGGTATATGTGTCCCACACTGCTAAAAACACTATTAGGACACCTATATTTCACTAAAAAGTGTAAATTGGTTGTTTTTGCGTTATTTCAAGCAAATTCGTACTTCCGGTTTAAAACGAATTTTTGAAGCTGCGTCACGGTCATGACATAATAGCGTGTATTCCAGCGTGCAGACTGGACGTCTGTGCCAGAGTGTGTCTTATTACGTCTTACAGTGTGTTGCATTAATGCATGAGTAAAGCTTGGTTCAAACCAATCAGCGCCTTTATTGTGCAAATTCATTAATATTCATTAGTGTCACAGTGTTTTCACGACAGAGACGCCACGTTGTGTTGGCAAAACAAGCGTGAAGTGTTGCTTTTATAGTTTGCTGCCGTTAAGTTTTGTTTTCATTTTCTCTCTGTGAGAGCTCAGCTGGAGTCACGTGTGGATTAACAGTGTACGCGACGCTCGACAACAATAACTTACGTGTGTAAGGAGGATTATTGTTTACCTGAGAGCTGTTCTCATCTGCAAACGCTGAGATCTGGATTCGCTTGTAGTATTCTCTTCATAAAGACGCGGCTCTAGTTGCTGGTGATTGTCCTGTCGCTACAGATTTGGTAAGTGAGCGACCAGTGCTCTTTGTTTATTCAGTTTGCTCGTATCGAACTAACTATTGCACCGAGTGTAAACACGTTAGCATCACAACCAAACTTTAACCTCGTGTAGGGTTTTTACCGCATTTTGTGACCGGAATAACACACGCGGCTTTCTGACGCTACCTGCCGTGTGCATCTAAGTTTCCGGGAAATGTGGAGGTTTTTTTTCTCTCATTCGCCGTGCGGTATCAAACATTGCATGAAAAATACACGCTTAGAGCAGCTCCTCGCATCAAATATCTCGTTTGTCGCGAGAGGCATGAATGAATTCCCTGAATGAAAGAGCCAAACTGCAGTTAAAGTCCACCATTTAATAATTTGGCAAATAATTAGACTACAGATGTCCATGTAGGTTAAACACCATCACTTTCTCATGTGTGTGTATTTTGACTGAAACTCGCGCGTGCCCAAATAGACACTCTGACACCCTCCCACTTTAGTTCCTCCGACACTCCCCCCTAAACAGAGCTGGACACGCCCACTTTTCTGACTTTTTCCAAAGTAGAGGTGTGAAAACACCCTGCTGAAACGAGGGGGTTTCATGGCCCTTTAATATATCATACCATTCATGCACAGGGTTAAACACAGTGTTTGTTTTTCCTTCTGTGGAAGTCAGTAGTTACAGGTAACTTATGGTAAATAGATGAATTAATATTGTTAAAATGAGCTCTGATATCCCTTTTTACATTCACCATTCATTCAGAACGGACCTTCAGGTCACCCGGAAGGCAGAGAAATGATAAGTTTGGGTCACTTTCCCTTCACTGATAAGCTATATAGCCAGTTACACAACATTTCTATGTAACTCCCAATGATACTTCCGGGTTTCTTCCCACCACAGCCTCAATTTCGCTTTTGAATATGGCGGCCGCGTGAAATCAGTCTATTGTTTCTGACCATGTCCATCCCTTTATGACCAGAGTGTACCCATCTTCTGATGGCCACCTCCAGCAGGATAACATTATAGATGTGCAGCCAACAAATCTGCAGCAACTGCGTGATGCTATCATGTCAATATTGTTTTAAAATTTCGGTTGGGTGGGTAGTAGTACACCACTTTTTGTTTTAGGACTGCACCACTGGTATTGATACTTTTCACGTGACATCAGGCAGTGTCTGGATTGACTTCGATATTGGAAGAAACTGACATTACAATACTTTTTTTTTCTGCGATATATAGCTATATTATACTATATTATTATACTATAGCTCTATTTGGAATAAAATCATAATTTTAGACTCACTGATGATTTTGTTGGGGAGTGCATCTGCATAAAATACAATAAATCGATCCCAAGTATTGATAAGTGTTAATACAGCACAAATGCAAGTGAAAGTTACGTTTTCTGGGAGTCTAGCAATATTCAGGTACACAAATCGAATAATCAAATGTCAGGTATAACATAATTACAATTGATCTTTTTTATTTATCGTTATAACCAGTATCATTTCTTGTGCCTGAAAGTCTTAAAAACACTCATTCGGTAACAATTTCATGAGTGTTTTCAACTGTAGCTCAAACATTGCGATATCGATGCTGAAACAATATCGTGTGCAGCCCTACTTCACAGTGTATCTGTATTCCGTCTACACAGAACCATCCATAGCGTAGGGCAGGGGTCACCAATCTCGGTCCTGGAGGGCCGGTGTCCCTGCAGGGTTTAGCTCCAACTTGCCTCAACACGCCTGCCTGGATGTTACAGGTATACCTAGTAAGACCTTGATTCGCTTGTTCAGGTGTGTTTGATTAGGGTTAGCGCTAAAACCTGCAGGACACCGGCCCTCCAGGAACAAGTTTGGTGACCCCTGGCGTAGAGGATTTACCCAGTCAGTGGTTTTCAAACTCGGAAAGTAGTTGAGTATTGAAAGAGACACATGTCCCATACTGTAACAGTCTTAAATCGCAACGTGCGATGTTGAAATTTTCACTCGTGAGTTTTCCTGAGACGTCACTCAGACGAAACAAAGATACTAACACTCTGGCTGTTTCTCAATATGCGTTCTTCAGCGGTCTTGCGTCCTTGTGCTCTCGTGAAACGTCATCATCAGCTGCCTAAGTTCAGTTCCAATACTCAAGACCGCAAGTACGGAGGACGCGTGAAACTTCCCGTATGTGTTCTTTATATCGAGAACGCACCGATGCAGACTTGAGCACCGAACTCGCTCTGGAAGTCCCAGAAGTCATTGCGACTGGAGGTGGGAAGCGCAGCAATTTAATTTAGATTTATTATTAAAGTTCAGAGATATTACCTATTTACCTCAGGAGTTTCCCTAAATGAAACCGTGAAAGTAAACATTAACATGAATATCTTAATAAAGGATTAAACACATTAAGGGTGTTTGTTTGCTGAAATTCGTATTAAAATCTGTTGTATTTATATTGTGCAGAGTATATTTATAATGTTTTTATTAGGCTTGGGCGGTATCCAAATTTTGATACCGTCAAACCGCCCCCATATTTTACACCGGTATCCGGTATTTCCGGCGTAATAAAAAAAAATTATGACGTAAAGCAAAAGTGAGCAGACAGCGTCACCAAACTGTTAGCTTGTGCCTAAACCATTCAGAAACTGAATACCTTATATGCGACCTTAGGCTCGCGGTCACCTGTTTGTCTTGTTTGTATTCTTCTGCGCAGGACACTCCTCTCATTCGCACGCACACACACAGAGAAAGAGAGAGAGAGAGAGCGCCAAGCGACGCACAGCACAGCACCGCTCTCTCTCTCTCTCAATTCAATTCAGTTCAATAATAATAATAATGATTTATTCAGAAATTTCAATAATGATTTAGAGCAGCCGGAATGCAGAGAGCTGTAATCAGGCCATAAAAATTAGGCACGATGAAGCCTGAGCCTGACAGGTTCATTTTGATCGACAGCTTTATAAAGCCCGAACCCGTTTACAGCCCGACATTATACAAATGTGCTCATGCACACAGCTCTATTGCCTTTTTTCAAGAATGAGTCATTTATATGTTTTAACATCATTTATTCATAACAAACGTAGACTATAGGCCACTTGGAAGTTGGAACAAAAAAATAAAATAAGTCCTCTGTAACTTGGGTATACATACCCTTAGCTTTCAAATTGGCTAACACACCAATGAAAAGAAATCTTGCTTAACAAATCAAATTAAAATAAACTCTAAATGATGACGGGTATTTTGGCAATAACGAAATTAAGATAAAAACTGTGCAAGGTTTGTTTCGCCACTTCTCTTCACAATCTGGCATTAACTAGCTGACTTTTAAAAGAATATTGCCAAGCCTGTATACTCTGTCTACATTATGATTATATGGTTTAATTAATATTTATTTCTAATTTAAAAACACTTTACTCACCAAGATTAGGCTACGTGTGTTTGTGGAGGAACATAATTAAATCCACTGGCTTTAGCGCAGCCCTGCGCTCACGGGGTGCAGCAGCACTGAACACCGTTTCACTGCTACTGCTACAGGCCGAGATGTTCTGATCTGGCCGATTTTGCAAGTTTTGGGTAGGATTGTTTGATCATCTTCTACCAGCCAGGAACATCCATTTAATTTTCCATGACAGTAGTTTTAATGTAGCGAGTCACCCCGTCTTTTTACCTGTCAGCTTGCGGTTTGCGCTCTACCTTAATACGCAGTGTATGAGGCTCCTTCTGAGCTAGTGACTGGCTTGACCGCCATCAAAATTCGCTTTTTTACTACTTCATCATCATTTGTTTCACCTTTGCAGTGATGGATTTTAATGCAGGGATTTAGATTTTTTCGGGTCTCGCCGGGTTCGGGCAAAGATCTTCAGCTCTAATGCGGACCTCTCGTTCATATTTACCACGTGACGTCTCCCTTCTGTTCTGTCGAAACTGGAAATACTGCCAAACTGCAGGATACTTTAGAGCCTGCCTCGTCACCTCACCTCACCTTTCCCCCTCCCTCTCTCCTCCACACTGTCCCGTGATGACAACCACACATATGTTTTTGTAGGCATTAAATAAAGGATATTTCATATTTTATGACGGTATTGAAACTGACACCGTTACTATTTTTAGATCCCGCGGTATACCATAATACCGTAATACCGCCCAAGCCTAGTTTTTCTGCAAAGTATATTTTTTGAAAAGGAGGGAAACAATAAATCGTTGTATGAGTGCTTTAATGTTTAAATAATTTCCATTTAAAACGCGTGAAGGTCATGTGACCATCAGGAAGAACGCAGCGTCCCATTTCTCACAGGACGCATTCTCTGTCCTCGCGGTCTCCTGAGTTCGTTCTTCCGAGGACACCTGTCAAGACCGCTCTCCACAAGAACGCAAGTCCGTTCTCTGCGCTCTTGGAGTTGAAACACAGCCACTGCTTTGCAAGGTGGAAGCGAAGTGACGTCATTGAGAAACGGGCCTATTATGCAAGGTCATCATTTTGGAAATGATGTATGTGCAGTAAACAATCACATCTGTATTAGAAGTTACAACTTAACATGGACACCAGTTACACCAGTGGTCACCAAACTTGCTCCTGGAGGGCCGGTGTCCTGCAGATTTTAACTCCAACTCTAATCGAACACACCTGAACAAGCTAATCAAGGTCTTGCTAGGTATACTTGAAACATCCAGCCAGGTGTGTTGAGGCAAGTTGGAGCTAAACCCTGCAGGGACACCGGCCCTCCAGGACAGAGATTGGTGACTCCTAAGTTACACTATCAATTAGTGCTTAAAACAGGGTGTCCGCGGCGACTTAAAAAGTATTAAAAGTTGATAAATCAATTATGAGAAAAATAAGGGCCCTTAAAAGGTATTAAAAAGTCTCAATCACGTTTTACCCAAGATCTTAAGTTATGTTCAAGCGTTGTTCAAAGTGTTTGACCCCAAAAAAAAAAAGAATTTATTTAATTTCCTCCGAATATTAACAACAACATGCTCGATCCACGCAATTGGTTCTGGCCAGGGAGCATCTGGCCAAGCTCCTTTGTCCGGGTGGTGGCACATAATTTGTGAAGAACACGTAAAGGTGATGTGACGCTCTTCACATGTAGTGAAACTGTACAGCAAAATGGGAAAATGTAAGCTTGCGTTCTCCTGGTTGGAGAAGGACGAGTTTAAACAGTGGCTGAAATCGCTGAATACAACCCCGTAATTTATTCTTTCAAGCTGTTTCTTCTGAGCTTATCTGAGTTCTGTTGCTTGGTCGTGCTTCATTCATTTGTTTAACTACAACTGTCTATTAAGTTAAAGGTTTGATACTGATTAGAACTTGAAGTGGCGACGAGGTCTTAAAATATTCTGAGAAGGTCTTTAAAAAGGTGTTGAAATTACCTTTAGGATTCCTGCATATACGCTGTTAATAATAACTATTATTTTAACTTCCTAGCCAGTGTGCTTATGTAACCCCGCCGGTGCTACGCCACCCAACAAGCTCCTAGCTGGTATCGAACCGTCGACCTTCCACATGGGAGTCGGTTGCTCTACTAAGGAGGCTAAAGACCATGGCCTCTAGTGTCTGTCGCTAGAGCACCTTTAGAGGTCAGAGGTTTACCTGCACAGCACACACTAGATGGCCTCCGTTACACTCACCCCCCTAGACCTCACTCCCATACGGGTCACGGCACCAATGTAACCCCGCCGGTCCTACGCTACCCAATCCGCTCTGAGCTGGTATCGAACCGGCGACCTTCCACATGGGAGTCGGGTGTTCTACCAAGGAGGCTAAAGACCATGACCTCTAGCATCTGTTGCTAGAGCACCTTTAGTGGTCAGAGCATTGAGGTTTACCTGCACAGCACCTACTAGCTGGCCTCCGTTACACTTACTACTGAATCTGGGAGATCATTATTGAGACTGTATGCGTTTTAAATCCCGTTTTCCTCAGTGTTCATTAATCTTGTCTCCAACAGGAAAATTCCTGGTGAAATTGATGTGGCGTTTGAAAAAAGATGGACTATATTAAAGAGGAGAGTGAAGACATCAAGATTGAAGAAACATTCACAGTCAAACATGAAGATCCTGACGAGCAAGCAGGTCCGTTCTCATTCTTTAAGCTAAAGTCATTCTTTTCAATGATAGATGGATAGATACATATGCGCACTGTGCAGTGAGAGAAACTATTTAGGCTGCATGTAGTTTTGTCAAGGCTGCAGATTGAGGTCAGTTTCGTTATATATTAACACATTCTGAGTAAAATAGTTCAGTTAAAGTAGTTAATTTTCACCGTCAACTATTCCAGTGTATGTTTTATGCAGCGGATGCCCTTCCAGCTGCAACCCAGTAATGGGAAACACACATATATATACTCTCATTCACACACATACACTACAGCCAATTTAGTTGATTTAATTCACCTATAGCGCATGTGTTTGGATTGCGAGGGGAAGCCGGAGCTGACTCCACACAGAAATGCCAACTGACCCAGCCAGGACTCGAACCAGTGACCTTCTAGCTGTGAGGCGACAGTGCTAACCACTGAGCCACCTTATTAAGCAGAACTTTAGAAGCATTACACAGGTTAATTATCTTGATGAACTGTTATGCACATTATATTTGCATCTTAAAGGCTGATTTATACTTCTGCGTCAAACGCCGGCGTATGCTACGGCGCTGACGCATAGCCCTTCGCCGTGGCCGTCGCCGTCACTGACGTGCACCTTAAAAAAAATGTAACTACACGTCGCAACGACACGTAGCGCAAGCTCTGTGATTGGTCGGCTTGGTAGCGCTGACGAGTCTGGGCGGGACCGAGAGCCGCGGGAATGGCGCGAACCCAATGTAGCGATTGTTTACAAGTGTGGAGTCCCGTGAAGGAGCTCCGGATGGAAAGTTTTGTTCTGTGTTTACCTCATAGTTAAAGTTGCTGCACGTCCGCCGGTTCCTGCCTCAAAATGAGCGAGTTTGAGCCACTTGTACATCCCGGAAGTGTTCAGAATAGCAAAACAGAAGCGAAAAAACTCGACACAGAGGAACATTTACACCTCACTGCCAACTAGCGTTTCGGAAGTGTTAATGCAGACCAACAGAGACAGCGCGCAGAAGTATAAATGCACAGCCACGCTCCTTGCATGCGCCGTGGGTTACGCCGGTCACCTGACGCAGAAGTATAAATCAGCCTAAAGGGGTCACACACCGGATGCACCACCACGCCACGCCATACAGCGCAATGTATTTTAGAATTCCAAACATAGATTTCTATCAATGTACACAGACTGGCAGCTATCTGCGGCTACCAGCTACGACTCAAGACACTTCATATTTCTGCACAGAGCGCCATCTGAGTAGTTTCAGTTTAAATAACATGCAAATGTGCGCGATACTTCCAGCTGTCATGTGTGTGTGTGGTGACACGCGCATCCAGTGTGCGACCCCCTTAACTGCGTTTTATAACAACTGATTAACGCTTATCTCTATGGAAGGTTGTGACGTCATCGTTTATGTGCGGAACCGTCTACAAATGCGCTGTCGACGCAGAACGTTTTAAAAATATAATTAAAGAACAATAAAAACATCTTGCTTGCGTGCATAATTTATATAACTGAGGTTTTAATTTAACACTGATTCGGGTGTATCTGAATCCCTGCAGACAGTCGGTCAGACCTGTGTACTGTCATCTATTCAAAGAAATTCACTCAGACTCCATGTCTCATTCGAACATTTACTGGTGATAAGTTGTGGTTTTCTGAAACAATACAAAAATAATCTCACATAAGTAATTTTTTATATAACAATTAGAACAGCAAATAACGATAATTACAATTATAAAATATGAATACAAATTGCAGTAACCGCACACCATATGAATGGAAATAATTAGAGCAGTGATTCCGTGACTGTCCACAAGAGGGCACCAATAGACCACTAAACGTGTCTGAGGCACATTTTCCAATGAGATAACTCAACAAGTATAAGTGGTAAATCACTGGAAGAAACGATTACGTTTGTACATGTAAAGTGTTAATATTACGTGCATTAAATATACTGCATATGAAAACAAGCCTAATTAACAACTATTATCAGTTACAACTCTAAAATCGGCCATTAGGCGCTATTGCGTTATGGCGCTATTGCGCATTTCACCCGCGATCTAAAACAACAAGACATTTACATCAATCGAACCAAATACACTTACTTTCTGTGCACGCACAACTATATACATCAGCAGTGGTGTTACTCTGCACGTAAACGTGAGTAGATAAGCAGATAACTAATCACTTTGTAGCGATTTTAGATCGGTTCTTTGTCTGCTCTGCACACCTGCTTCTCTTCCTTCTCCAAGTCCCGCCCAATAAAGTGACGATGCGATTGCTTATTAGTCAGCAGCAGAATGTTCCAGAAGCCTTTTGAACAATGTGATTGACATGCGCTGTTACGGCTGTAGTTGGCTAGTATCTCATCAAGATAGCTCTCATTTGTACTTCTCATGCTGTGTTCACGCCAGATGCGGCCAGCGCAGATAAATCGCACATAAATAAACGCATCAACATTTTTGAGTTCACTCGCTTCATTCACGCATCAATGTTAAATTCATCCGCATGTTAAATTAACTTCACAACAGACCGGATTTGCATGATGGGGAGGGCTTCTGTCTGCACGGTGACTCTAGCTTCGTTGCTAAATGGCTAACATGAATTTTACTGAGAGAATAGCTGTGCTTTAGGAAGGCTGAAAAACAGCGTCGATTCATTTGGAGCCGTGTCTGAGTTTACTAGAGCCTTTCAGAGATGCATCCAGCCCTGTGAGTTCATCAACTCCTCCAGAAACTTAACCTGGATCACAGAAGCGTTCAGCGGTGCTTCTGACTGAGCCGAGCCCAGTTTGATCAACTGTTGTCGGTGTCAGCAGGAGGATTTTCCCCCGGGACACCAACAACAGGCGTAACGTCATAATCACGTCTCCACAAGAGCAAGCTCCTGATTGGTTAATGTCCGCTGAAGTTCAGATTTTCGAACTCGAGTGATTCACGCAAAAAGCTCAACTCGCACTGCTTTATTCGCGCAAATTGCATCATTCGCGCTGCCACATTCACACGTATCATGCCGCAGGATGTCTATTCGCGTCTTTGCGTTAACATGTAAACCACTCATGCTTGACGCTTCTTCTGCGTCTGGTGTGAACGCAGCATTATGATGCACTTGAGCTTAACCACTTGCACTGGCTGAGCTGTGAGAAAAACAACACTATTGGCTGTTTTTTGTAGGGGAAGAGCTACTCTATGTCCTGCCGTCTTCATATTTCAGTTGAGGTTACATCAAAGCACGTCACAGGACCTTTAACTGTATTTTTGTCTGTTTTGTTGTAGACCTGAAGCCACCTAAAGAAGAAAGTCCAGAGCTTAGCGAAGCTGAGGAAAAATATCACTGTGAGAAACGTGAATTCCCAACTGAAGAATCAAACCGAATCGAAGAACAGAATGAAAATGCTTCCCTGAGAAAAAGAGGACGGCCGAAGTCCAACCCTCATTTTACCTGCGGTCAGTGCGAGAAGAGTTTCGATCAAAAACGAAACCTCGAAATCCACATGAGGATTCACACCGGAGAGAAGCCTTTCAGCTGCCAACAGTGCGGGAAGAGCTTCACTCAGAAAGGATCCCTCAAGAGTCACCTGAGAGTTCACTCGGGAGAGAAGCCGTACTCCTGCCGGCTGTGCGGACAGAGCTTCACGGCAGAACCGAACCTCAGATACCACCTGAACATTCACAACGGAGTCAAGCCGTACGCGTGCGACGAGTGCGGAAAGTGCTTCACGCGTAAAGCCACCCTCAATAACCACATGAGGATTCACTCCAGAGACGACATCTTGAAATGCCTTCACTGCGGAAAGAACTTCAGCCACAAAGTCAGCCTCAAGACTCACATGAGGATTCACACTGGAGAGAAGCCGTACTCCTGCACTCAGTGTGGAATCAGCTTCACGTACAAAGCGTCGCTAGACTCCCACATGGGAACTCACTGTGAAGACGGCCCGTACACCTGCCAGGTTTGTGAGAAAAGCTTCTCGCTAAAGGGAAACCTTAAGACTCACATGAGAAGTCACACTGGAGAGAAACCGTTCGAGTGTCTTCAATGCGGAAAGTGCTTCACTCGTAAAATAACTCTCAACTACCACATGGAGATTCACTCCAGAAAGGACTGCTTTATATGCCGTCACTGCGGAAGAAGCTTCCCCAGCGTGATTCTCCTCAAGGAGCACGTGGAAATCCACTCTGACGACAAACCCTTCAAATGCCAGCAGTGCGGGAAAGGTTTCCGATTCAAGAAAAACCTCAAAGCTCACATGAGGGTTCACAGCGACGAGAAGCCTTACGAGTGCCAGCACTGCGGGAGGTGTTTCAATCACAAGCCGAGTCTTAATACTCACTTAAGAATTCACACCGGGGAAAGGCCTTACACCTGTCCTCAGTGCGGGAAGAGCTTTACCTATAAAGGAACTCTCGAAGGCCACATAAGAGGTCACAACAAAGAGAAGCCGTTCAAGTGCGAGCAGTGTGGAAGGTGTTTTGGACGGAGAGGAACTCTTAAGTGCCACATGAAGACTCACCCGAGAGACAAGCCTTTTAAATGCCATCAGTGCGGAGCGGCTTTCACAAATGGGAACCGGCTCAGGAGTCACGTGAAGACTCACATCGGAGAGAAGCCTTTCATGTGCGTTCATTGTGGAGTTGCATGTTCGAAGAAAGCGAATCTCGAGGCTCACATGAGAATTCACGATCGAGAAAAGCCGTTCTTGTGTCGGCAGTGTGGAACGCCTTGCTCAACCAAAGCCAAGCTTGACGTTCACATGAGAGTCCACGCCGGGAAAAAGCCGTTCACGTGTGATCAGTGCGGGAAGGGATTCCAGCTGAAGGGCAATTTTACAAAACACAAGCAGGTTCACGCTGGATTGAAGGCGTTCGTGTGTCTGGAGTGCAGAAAGTGCTTCGCGCACGCGGAAGACCTAAAGAGTCATTTGGTGAACTGCGGGAGGAAAACGCAAAGCCTTTGCGACTATAACCTGCAGTGCTCTGAATGCAGGAAGAGCTTCAGGAAGCGGAGCAATTTTAAAAACCACCTGCGCATTCACTCTGGAGGAAGGAGGTTCAATTGCGATCGGTGCAATAAGAAGTTCCTTTCGCCGTCGCACATTCGCATGCACATGAAAAGTCACACAGATCTCAGACCTCGTTTGTGCTTCCAGTGTGGAAAGAGGTTTAAGTGGCTCGGAAGTTTGAAATGTCACCAGAAGATGCGTACTGAATGCGTACTGAGGTACAGCTGAATGCCAGTCACATCTAAACGAGATCAAAAACACAAGATATTCTGAAAAAAACAGGGTTTTGCTTCATTCAGCCTCACTCTGCTTCATACTACCATGATAATAAAAGTAATTGCACACTGAATCAGAAATCTTTTGAACCGGGTCCAACTTTTTTTTCATTTTCACATCTCTGCTTTTTCAAATATGAGTACGATTAAAAATAAATAAATAAATTTGGACTTCAGTGTGCAAAGACTTTAAGTGTTCAATTGTTTACTCATCCATCAATAGTATTTCTGGGCCCCGTTTCAGAAAGGAGGTCAAGTAAAAACTGAGAGCATTTTAACCCTGAAATGAGAGAAACTCTTAAGTTTTCCGTTTTAAAATGGCAGGTTTGTCAACCTGGAGAAAGCAGGGTAAGTCAAGCCTGTTTCCGAAAGTGAGGTAGCTTTAACTCAGAGTCAGTTACCGTGGTAACTTACCCTGTAAACCAAACCTGGTCAGGAACAGGTTCTAAACTGTTCAGATTCTGTCGATCTCCTCCCCTTTTTTAAAGACGAAGCGGTGTTACGATTCCACCCACCTGTTTTTATGTGCATTTTGAAGATGTGCATAAAAAACGACTGATATAAACGTCATGATTAGGCCCACGCGGAATCTCCGCAGATTTTCTGGAGAATTCCGCACATTTTTAGCCCATCATTAATTCTGTTTTTTAACTTGAGTAAATGTGTAAATCTGAATTTATACAGTTTTTATTCAGTAATTTATTACTTTTTATTTAATATATTAAGGGTTTAGTTATGATACTCCGCTGGATACTCCCAAAATAATTCCGCAGAAATCCACAGATTTTTACCAAAATTCTCAGCAGAAATAGCAAAAAACGTCCGCAGATTCCGTCTTGCCCTAGTCATGATGCACATAACTTTTGAAAACACGCATAAAAAAATCTTATTTGCATAACTGAGTGGAATAAACTTTTATTCGATAGAAAAGATGCGCATAATCTACGATGGAAACACTTTTACCGATCAAATTCCAGTATGTGTATTCAAAAAGGTTTGCTATAAGAGATCATATGATGATGAAAATGTGTGTGAATGCACAAACCAGCAGGCTGAGCACATTGTAAAACATCTGAAATGTTGTTTTGGTCATTCTTAAACGCCCTAACCGTTTTAGAATTAATGTTATTAAATTATTAATGACCTCCAGAATCGAGAGCGTCTGTTCTCCGCATCTCATGGCTTCAAACGCCACCACGCATTCATTGTGTATCGGCTTTGTCCTCTGAGGTGAAAGTCATTTATTAAATAAAGAAAAGATTGACGCAGCTTCTTCTACCGCAGTAAATTCTGCTTTTACTGTTGATATTTGGCGCCAGTTAATCAGGAAGTGTCGATTTTGTTCTCTTCGGCTCGTTAGATGGAAGCGCTGCTTTATTCGCAAGTCTTTTATGCGATTTTTCCAGTTTTGCACATAAATTTAATTAACATATTCGGATGGAAACAGCTATTTCCTACATTTCAGTCACACAAAGAACAAAGTGACGTACGAGAAAGGCTTGTCCTTTTTTTAATAAATAATTAGCTTAAATTCACTGTCCTTCGACAGGGACATGTGCTGTAACTAGATTAATAGATTATTACTCGTTCTACAAAACTATTTTATTAGTACAGCTTACTTTCTTAATGTCATATCAGCCTCTACACTTGATCAGTAATAAAGGCAGACACACAAGTGCACTTTTAAATATATTAAAACGTGTGTAAAAGTGGAAACCTTAAACGAAACATTTCCACTGAGCTTTAAGCTAAGGTTATCCGCATTCTTGTTTTGTCAAAATTTGTTGTAGAGACTATGCAGTAGCCTATTTTATGTAATTGAACGCAATTACATCTGAAATAACTTCAGAATTACGACCAGTTCCCCACTTCTTCAAGCGAAAAGTTATTAAACGTCACACATTACATTACTTATTTTATTATACTGATTGGCCAACACAGCTAATTTCACACAAGACTGACAAGATGCAAATTCTGCACGGTATTCATTGCGTATTCTGCAATGTTTGGCTGCGGGACAGTATTCCACCTATGATTAAAATCATCTTTTGTAAGCTTTTTGGACAGAAGTGTGTGTAGTATAGTGTGTCCACTGTCATATTGGGGTGATATAAACACAACAAGTCTCTTTTTTTAAATTTCCTGATGTTAAAATAGGACCCAAATCCTAGTGATTTTGAGGCCCACCGCAACGTAACCGAGGAGAGTGGTTTTCCCCTCCCCCTGAATTGATTGAGGGCCGCGGTGTTTCTATAATAACATGTACACACACATGTCCACAGAACATTTTTGTTTTGCAATTAAACTGGTATTAAAATATTTGTTCAGCTCTCTGTGATTTTAATAAGTTTAAAACATTTTTAAAACAGAGCATGTTCGTTATAAAGACAGTAAAATCGCTATATAAGTCTTAACCGCTATGATCATCACAGCTGCATGGCGGGCACGCGCACAGGTAGGGCTCAACCTAGGGTGTGTGACTCATCATTTCAGAAAGGCTTGAATAAATTCCACCACAAATACATTATCATGTATTTCAGCTTCATCCGAGTCTCACATCCGAGTCTTCATGTCTCTGTCACTGACTGCTGTTTATCTGACAGAACACAGGAGAAGCAGACGCGCACATGGGAACAGGGGGCGGGGAGAAGCAGCTCATTTGCATTTAAAGCCACAGGCTACAAGAAACAGCTATAATGTATTCAGACACCAAAATGAGCAGATTCCTGAGGTTATAATAAATAATCCGATGGATATTTTGAGCTGAAACTTTAAAGACACCAAAGGCTCATCTTACACCTTGTAAAAAGAGTTAAATAGGTGCCCTTTAATACAGCATAAAAGGCTTTTATCATTAGCTGTTGGTTTGGTGTTCTCTTAGCATGCATCACAGTGCAGTTTTGCGTTTTCATGTGCAACAATTAGAGAAAAAAAAAACGAAAGTGGGGGAAAACTTTGTTTATAAAAATACCTGTTTACATGTGGACGAGACCTTGGAGTGAAATGATCTTTGTGAGAAACTGCTCATCATGCTGCGTTTACACCAGATGCGTAACGCGCGTCAAGCGCGAGTGATTTACATGGTAAGTCAATGCAAAGGCGCGAATAGACATCCTGCGTTGCGATACGTGCGAATGGCGTGGCGCGAATGACTCGAATTGTGCAAATGGCGTGATACACGCAAATGGCGCTGGTGCGAATTGAGCGTTTTGCGCGTTTGATGCACTTTTGCGCGAATCACTCGAGTTCGAAAATCTGAACTTCAGCGTACATTCGCGGCGCGTTAACCAATCAGAAGTTTGCTCTTGTGGGGGCGTGATTGTGACGTAAAAGCTGTTGATGGTGTCCTGGGGGAAATCCTCCAACCGACACCGACAACAAGTTATCAAACTGGGCTTGGCTCAGTCAGAAGCACCGCTGCAAGTCCCCGTCATCCAGGTTCAGTTTCTGGAGGAGTCTATGAGCTCACAGAGCTGGATGCACCTCTGAAAGAATCTAAAGGACTCAGACACGGCCCTAAATGTATCGATGCTGTTTTTCAGCCTTCATAAAATACATAAACACTGTTATTTTCTTCATAAAATCCATGTTAGCCATTTAGCTACGAAGCTAGAGAAGAGTCACCGGGCAGACAGAAGCACTGCCCATCACGCGAATCTGCGACTGTTCTAAAGTGAATTTGATGTGCGAATAAAGCGGATTTGATGCGAGTAAACTCAAATGTTCACGCGGCAATTTACGCGCGATTTATCCGCGCGTTCTGTGTCTGGTGTGAACACAGCATCAGTTACAAATGTCCTTGTTCGCTGTTGTCAGATTACTGACTCAATAAACAGGCTGTTGCTTTGCACATTGTGTCTGCTAGCCCTCGGAGACATTCAAAACACAGACACTGTTCTCAGTTTAATACTGACAAGGCTATTCAAATTGATTAAGGGCAGCAGATCTTTTGAATTAACCTGCATTTAAAGGGATAGTTCACCCAAAACTGAAATGTCTGTCATCATTTACACACCCATCAGTTGTAATCAACGATTTTTCTTCTTTAGGCTGAGCACAAAATTGTTGAAAACCTGTAACTGTCGACGTCTGTAATCTTTTATTTGTCCTGCTCTGAAAGTCGATGATTGAAGGTTTCTAAAATTTCGTAAATGTCTTCTTTTGTGTTCGGCAGAATGAAGAAGCTCAGAAAGGTTTGGGACCATTTAAGAGAGGGTAAATGTTTCTTTTTTGGGTGAACTATTTCTGTTACGACACAGTTCCAGAATAGTTCCTGTCCGGGACCTGCCCCAGGGTTTGTTCTCCATTTACGTCCACCGCTGGAGTTTTTGTTTTCAGCCAATCGCGTCCTTCAACAATGACATTCGTATTGAACCGAACTCGATCATTGTGAACATCACAACCTGAACAAAAGCCAGCTCTCTGTGGAATCAAATATGCCCAGTGAACTTGACTTACAGGTAAGGCGGTGGCGCAGTAGGTAGCAGCACCTTCGCCTTACAGTCAGAAGGTTGCTGGTTCGAGCCTCGGCTGGACCAGTTGGCATTTCTGTGTGAAGTTTGTGCTCTGGTTTCCCCCACAAGTCCAAAGACATGTGGCACTACAGGTGGGCTAAATTGGCCGTAGTGTAAGTGAGTGTGTATGGGTGTTTCCCAGCTACGGGTTGCAGCTGGAAGAGCATCCACTGTGTAAAACATATGCTGGATAATTTAGTGGTTCAATAAAGGGACTCAGCTGAAAAGAAAATGAATGAATTACTTACACCATAGGTCTCGAACTCGACCCCTGCGGTTTTGCTTTCACCCTAATTTAACTCGCCTGATAAAGGTAATCAAGGTGTTCAACTGTGTGTGCAGGTGTGAATATAAGCAGCTGTGAATTGGAGCTAAACTGCAGGAGCTAGCAGGAACTCATTTGAGACCATTGACTTGCACACTGATAAAACTTTAAATCAGATTTTCCATCATTTATTTATTTATTTTTTTGATATACACCAGGGGTGTCCAAACTCGGTCCTGGAGGGCTGGTGTCCTGGAGAGTTTAGCTCCAACCCTAATCAAACACACCTGAACCAGCTAATCAAGCTCTTACTAGATATGCTAGAAACTTCCTGGCAGGCGTGTTGAAGCAAGCTGGAGATAAACTCTCCAGGACACCGACTCTCCAGGACCGAGTTTGGGCACCCCTGATATACACTGTATAGGCGTTGTTTAAAGTGCTTTAGACATAAACGCGTACAATAATGCAAAACTCCCGTTTTACACTAATAGGGTTTGAAGTTTGTAAATTCATCATAGAAACGATTTCTGACTAAATGCAATGCTCTTCAGACTCATGTTTTGTGACATGGTCCATCTGAAAGATGAAGAGAAAAAGCAGGGAAGATTCCCGTTTTTTTTTTTTTCTGTATTGTGAGGAGATATATGCCACCATTTCATAGCAAAGCAGCTCCTTTGACACCTGAAGTTTTCCTCTTGTTTGTGTGCGCATACAAACTGCGTCCCAAATCAATAGTATCTGGGTGCAGCCTTTATGATGCAAGCTGAGACTGCATCACTCAGCGGTGCAATGTCAGACACAATGCACTCAAATGGAGCGAGTGAGGTGAGCCCATTAAAAAGCATTGGATGCAGCCCAGATTGCACTGCACCAGGTCTGCAGCCAGACCCATCTCTCCCAAATGGCACACTATGCACTATGCACTCATGCACTATGTACTTATGCACTTACACACTCAGCAGGATAGTATATGTATGTAGTGTCGTCCCAAATTTTTTTTTTACTAAGCGGAAATTCAAACCGTCTCCCAAATGACGTTTGACGGTCGCCAAATCATTGAAATAAACAACCGAATTATCAAATAATACCTGCCGTGAGTATAACCGCATTCACCATCGGGAGGCGCTAAAATCACTCTCATAGGAGAATTTTGCTTTCACCATCTAAAATAATTAAAGTTATCCAACATGTCCGTCTGATAGCTCCGCCCCTTCCGCTACGTAAGCAAACCTGCGGTCGTTGAGTGCGTGAAGTGTCCATCATTCCACACTTCACTTCAGCGGCTGAATGAGTGCATCATCCGGGTAATTAAAGTGCACTTATTATTGTTAGAGTTTTCAGTGTGAAAGCACTAATTACACTATTTATACTACAAAATGGCGTAGAATAGTGCGTAAGTATGCGATTCGGGACGCAGCTACTTTAAATCATTGATTGAGTTTAATCCTCAAGGATGTCATTAGACCGAGTGTAACTGTTCAGTGTGTCTGTAAAGTCCTGCAAGCAACACACAAACACCCCACCGTGACCTCAGTTTCTGTTGATTCTGCAGGATCTGAAATGTCTGTAGCGGCTCCATATTCATCTTCACTTAACACCTGTTGGCACACAAAAAAAGTTTCAATTACTGGGAATGCATGCATGACTGCCGACACAGGGATTTAAAAGGCTTCAAATCATTTATAGATCTAAGCAGATATAATAAAAGGAAAACCGTGGCTAATTACACTAAAAGCAAAGAGCCATAGATGTGTTTTTACATTAAGTGTATATAACGTTTTCTCAACACTAAAGTGTAAAATGCTATTTATATCAAGCGCAAGTTTGACATCAACTTAAAAAAACAACAACTGTATTTTCTTAGCATTCAGCCATTTAGGGCTGATTTATACTTCTGCGTCAAGCACACGCATTTACTACGGGGCAGCCTACGCATGGACAAATAGCCCTCGTCGTGGCCGTCCGCATCGCTGAAGCGCACCTCTCAAAAAATGTAACTACACGTCGCAACGACGCGCAGCGCAAGCTCTGTGATTGGTCGCCTTGGTAAGGCTGACGAGTGTGGGCGGGACCAAGAGCCTGATAGAGCGATTGTTTACAAGTGTGGAGTCCCGTGAAGGAGCTCCGGATGGAAAGTTTTGTTTTGTGTTTACCTCATGGTTAAAGTTGTTGCACGTCCGCCGGTTCCTGCCTCAAAATGAGCGAGTTTAAGCCACGTGTACATTTAGAAAAAACAAAACACAGGCGGAAAAAAAACACGGTACAGAGGAACATAAACACTTACTGCCAGCTAGAGTTTCAAAAGTGTTATTGCAAAGCAACACACACCGCAAGTATAAATGCACGGCAACGCGCATTGCATGTGCCGTGGGTTCACGCCGATCACTCGACACAGAAGTATAAACCAGGCTTTACTCTGCACAAACAGTGATGTACTCTATTTACATTATATATAAAGACGTTGAGGCAGTGGCGCAGTAGGTAGTGCTGTCGCCTCACAGCGAGGAGGTTGCTGGGACGCTGGTTCAAACCTCGGCTCAGTTGGTGTTTCTGTGTGGAGTTTGCATGTTCTCCCTGCGTTCGCGTGGGTTTCCTCCCGGGTGCTCCGGTTTCCCCCACAGTCCAAAGACATGCGGTACAGGTGAATTGGGTAGGCTAAATTGTCCATTGTGTGTGGATGTTTCCCAGAGATGGGTTGTGGCTGGAAGGCCATCCGCTGTGTAAAAACTTGCTGGATAAGTAGGCGGTTCATTCCGCTGTGGTGACCCCAGATTAATAAAGGGACTAAGCCGACAAGAAAATGAATGAATGATTAAACACGTTTAATAGATTATATAAAAGGAAATTGTTTGATAAATATTTTTATTTGCAGCAACTTTTAGATGTTATTCATTGGAATAACAAAAGTGGAAAGAGCAGCAGAAATATCCACCACAGTGTTAAGACTACGCTGAAAACCAGAATCCAGTAAAATTGGAAAATCCGGTAAATAAAGCCCTGCCAATAGAGGTCTGCGCAGGACTGATTTTTATAGTCCCACTCCCGCAAGGTTTTGTTCCGCACCCGACCGCTCCTGCTGTATATTCCGTCTTTGTTCACCCGCTGCCCACTTTTCTAACCGACCCAACAGTTCCCGTTAAATTTACATCTAATTTCCAAAATCTCACATTTAAATTTGGCACTAGCAAAACAGATAATAGATAAAGCTGTCGGTTGTGCGAGGGTTGTAGGCTAAATGTTAGTGTTGTTTGCCCCTTTGTGATGAGACATGAGTGTCGCCTTAAAACTGAGGTTCCAGTCTTCTGAAGCTGGTCGCACATCGGATGCGATGTGGTGCAAATGTGACAGGTGGAATTAACGTTCGCCAAAGGTGCACACTTAAGTAAAGTTTCACAATCTGATTTCGAAAGAAGCACGTGATATGATTAACTGCAGCTGGTCACCCAGCAACAATCATTAGTTAGCCAATCAGATTAAGGGTGCTTTCACACCTGTGAATCGATTCAGTTGTTCCGAAACAGAGATAACAATTGTTACATTGTTGCTCTTTGCTCTTGGAGCGGTTCGCTTTCACACTGCAAAGTTTCTAATCGGACCAAAAGAGCTAAAACAAGTCACGTGTGAGTAAACTCTCCTTACATTGGTCAGAGTGTCAGGGTTTATTTTGCAGAGTCCCGCTCAGCTGTCAGGAGAGGTGGTGGTTTAGTGGTGATTGACAAGGTGCGCGAGCACACAACGTGTCTGGGGAGAGATGCGGTGGGGAGGGGTGAGATGGGTGCGCGACGATGCCTATTTGAGAACCGGGAGGGAGACGCGAGATTACCGGGAGATTATCACTCATTTGCGGGCATCCGGAGACTCGCGAAACTTCCCGCCCTACTCATAATTCTCTCTTCATATAGCCGTATGCCTATTACATATCCATAAAACACTGTGATGTAATCACGCTCGGATCGGATCGCTTTCTCACTGCAATCAATCCGCTCCAGGGTTCGTTTCAATCGAGCCGAGACCACCTCATTTAAGCGATCTCGGAGCGATTACTTTGGCGCGGAACAGAGCGCGATTGCCCTGTTCACATATGCCACTAAAACCAGCTTGACCACCAGCCTGGTTTAAGCTGGATATAGCTGGTTTTGGCTGGACTCCCAGCTTGGCTAGGCTGGTCATTGGTTTTAGCTGGTCATCTCCCAACCTGACCAGCTAAGACCAGGCTGGAAATGGCTGGAAACCAGCCTGGAAGTGGCCAAAACCCCACTAAAACCAGCCTGGTCGACCAGCTAAAACCAGCTTACCAGCCTAGGCTGGTTTAAGCTGGATTTTAGAGCAGGGTTGTGTAAAAAGATTCTCCCTTACTGTGCAGTTTAATCCTCCCACCAGTAAAGTTGTGACAAGGATAGTCATTTTATGATCTTTACTGTCCAACGCAAGCCAAGTGTAAATTGTAAATGAAAAGAAGCAACAGTACTTACCGCAGGATCTCCAGTTTATAATGTGGGTCATTCTTTAAAGCGGACAGCAGCTTCTCACTGGAATCTCCTAGTTTATTCTCAGTCAGATCTAGCTCTCTGAGCCGTGAGGAGTCTGATCTCAGAGCTGAAGCCAGAGCAGTACAACCTTTATCTGTGACGCCACAATCCTTTAACCTGCAGGTCAACAACACACTCTTCACTCAGGGTTCAGCAGGAACATTAGCATCCAAGAACACATTTTCAAGAGTTCACACTTAGCTGATGACTGATAATAAAGCTTGTTTGGCATGCTGTCCCGGGAGAGAGCCTTGAGCTTATGAGATCCTCGAGCTCGGGGCTCCCTCTCGTTTGCAGGGTGAGAGGGGAGTTTGAGCTCAGGTAGATCTCGATGAACTTCCCCCTGCTTATTTCTAGCAAATGAGTGGAGGTGTACTTACTAAGAGCTTGGCTATGGTATTAATTTTGTGTGTTCAATTTACTTAGGTTGCGTGCTTCTGTGGGAGGAAACCGGAGAACCCGGGGAAAACCAATGGGAGCACGGGAGAATGAGCAAACTCCGCACAGAAATGTCATCTAGTTTAATTTGGACTTTAACCAGAGACGTTCTTGCTGTGAGGCAACAGTGCTAATCACTGGGCCGCCGTGTCGCCCATCTAGAAAGGAGGGGGAGTAGGGGTGCGCAGGGGAGGATTCTTCAAGGCGAAGATATTGAGATAAGAAAACTCTGGTTATTTATAATGAGTTAGAAATCATCTGATGAGCTGACGCGGGAACAGCTGAGAACAATCATAGGCACGTGATCCTCTAGTAATTAGTTTATAAATAAACTTCACTTAAATCAGGGGTGTCCAAACTCGGTCCTGGAGGGCCGGTGTCCTGCTGAGTTCAGCTCCAACTTGCCTCAACGCACCTGCTAGGAAGTTCCTAGTCTATCTGGTGAGAGCTTGATTGGTTCAGGTGTGTTTGATTAGGGTTGGAGCTAAACTCTCCAGGACACCGGCCCTCCAGGACCGAGTTTGGACACTCCTGACTTAAATGAACTATGTACTCTACGCCAGGCCAGCGTTGAAAAGACAGGAGGAAATTTGGTCAACCTATGGGATTGGCACTTTTATTCATGTGCCCTGAGTTACAGAAAACACGACTTGGTGGCACTAAAGCACAAAACAGTCTAGCCGAGCACACATTTCTAATGAAGAAGAAGATGCACTGAGGCTAGGGCTGTATTCAAAACCCCCCTTTTTACCCTTAATAGTGCATTATTTGAAGGAGCGGGCAGTCCAAGTGGTGTCTGAAACCATAGTGGACATCACGAAGTGCAATCGAGTGCACAACGAGTGTACAACCCATGCACACTCAACAGATAGAAAATCCCCATAATGCACTGTGAGAGTTTGCGCAGTGAATGAATTCCCAGATTTATCCTGGAATTACCCTGAAACACCAGCAATTCCAAACTAAAATGAGATCTTTCAAGAGTTCACACTTAGCTGATGATTGATTATAAAGCTTGTTTGGCATGCTTATGGCAAGCTCACAAGATCCTAGAGCCCGGGGTTCCCTCGGGCGAGAGGGGAGTTTGAGCTCAGGTAGATCTGGAGAACTCCCCTGCAGTACTAGCTAATGAAAAGATAATGATTGCTCTTAAGAGATAACTACTTACTAGGAACATGTCTATGGTGCCGATTTGGATTAATCAGTTAACTTAATTAACATGTTTTTGGACGGTGGGAGGAAACCGGGAACTTGGGGGAAACCTATGTGAGCATGTGGGGAACGTGTAAACTCCGCATAGAAACGTCGGCTGGCTTGGTAAGGACTATAACCAGTGACGTTCTTGCTGTAATGCAACAGTGCTAACCACTGGGCCACCATGCCACCCATCTAGGAAAAGAGGAGGAGGAGTAGGGGTGGAAGGGGGGATTCTTCGAAACGAAGATGGCTGTGATATGGAACTTAGGGTATTTATAGTGGCTTAGGAATCGTCTGATTGGTTTTAGTTTTAGTTTAAACTTTATTGTCCGTTCTGCTTGACACAGAAAGGACATTTTTCTTCAACACTGGATTTAGGACAACAATTACAAACATACATCAACGACACAATAACACTTATCAAAGTACATAGAAGTTAAAAGTTTAAAAACCAAATTGGCCCCATGCACAATACTGCAAATCATTCTTGGTAACCACCTCATTCACTACAAACATTGATCCGGTTTAGAACAACAACTGCCATTGGGATAAATGACTTTTTATAGGCATTTCTTCGTGCTTTAGGAATTCTACACCTGCGTCCTGATGGTAGCAATTCAAATGCTGAGTGAAGGGGATGTGTATTATCTTTAAAAATCACAACTGCTCTTTTTTCCATAAAAGAGTCAAATAAAATCTGCAATGAATGCTGTTTGTGACCAGTTATCTTATTTGCCTGATTGATCATTTGAGCTAATTTCTTTTTCCTGTTTAAGTGTTGTGTTACCAAACCATGAAACAATATTATATGTGAGAACACTCTCTATCAGTGATCTATATGCCCAGGTTAAAGTCTGTGTACTAACATTAAAACTTCTCAATTTGCGGAGGAGATAGAGGCACTGACTTGCTTTCTTATAAACCGCCTCTACATTACTATTAAAATTCAGTTTATTGTCAATTATTGTGAATAAATACTTGAAATTTGAAACCTTCTCTACTATTTGTCCGTTTATGGTGACTGGTTTAAAGAGTCCAGTATCTACTCTTCTTGTTTGACTCCCCAGACATAACTCTTTTGTTTTCCCAATATTTAGATGTAATGAACTTTTGCCAAACCAATCTATAATACTATCAATATATCTAAAATATAAGGTGCTATTCATTTCTTCCTGACAGGAATCCAATGCCAGATCATCAGCATATTTTATGAGTGTGAGATTGTCATCAATATTGCACGGCAGTTCATTAATATATAGAAAATAAAATAGGTGATAATACACATCCCTGAGGTACCCCTATATTTAAAACAGAGCAGTCAGACATAGCATGATTAACACAGACACGTTGTGGTCGGTTTTTTAAAAACTCTCTGATCCATATAATCAACCAGTTACTTACTCCTAAATTATGAAGACGTTCTAAAAGAAGATTAGGTTGAACAGTATTAAAAGCAGCTGAAAAAGTATTCTAACATACGTATTTGGCCTATCTAGAGGATGTTGAACTTTGTTGGTGAATCATAAGTTGAATAAAGCGGGACCGGCAATCATAAGCATGTGATCCTCTCGAAATTAGTTTATAAATAAACTTCACTTAGCATCTTCAGTATGGTTTTTCATAGGTCAAAGATGCCGGAGTATTATGTCACTAGGCATAACAGTAAACAAATGTATGCATTTTAAATTTTCTTGGGTAAACGGCACCACATGGTCAGTTCAAGGCAACGACAGTATGAGTACACCCACAATCTGATGTTAAAAGAAGCCTGAAATATAGTGTGAGCTCACCTCAGTGTCTCCAGTTTACAGCGAGGATCCTTCAGTCCATCAGAGAGCAGCTTCACACTCGCCTCTCGTAGTTTATTCCATGACAGATCCAGTTCTCTGAGGTGTGAGGAGTCTGATTTCAGAGCTGAAGCCAGGGCAGTATAACCTTCGTCTGTGATGTCACATGCGCACAACCTGTAGCGCACAATGTTTCTCTCAGTTCAGCAGTAGCACAAACAACAATTACAGAGTCTCTAGGCTAATGTAACCCCGCCAGCTCTACACCACCCAACCCGCTCCGAGCTGGTTTCGAACCAACAACCTTCCGCATGGGAGTCGGGTGCTCTACCAAGGAGGCTAAAGACCATGGCCTCTGTCGCTAGAGCAACTTTTAGAGGTCAGATGAGTGAGGATTACCTGCACAGCACACACTAGCTGGCCTCCGTTACACTCACCCCCCTAAACCTCACGGCACCAATGTAACCCCGCTGGCTCTACACCACCCAACCCGCTCCGAGCTGGTTTCGAACCGGCAACCTTCCGCATGGGAGTCAGGTGCTCTACCAAGGAGGTAGAGCCGTTACCTCCGTTACACTAACACCAGCTAATGTTGATCAGTCAACACAAATAGGCTCAAAAACATATGGGAAGAAGTAGCTAGCATGTTGCTATGAGCAATTAGATATGCCCCTGTCCTTTACATACAAACTCGCATCATTTTGACATGTTTTCCTTTTCTGTCTGCTCGTGAAAGTGAGGTCAAAATGGTCTAATATTGCTCTGCAATGAGCAGAACTAGTGTTGTCTCCAACTTGGCTTATTTTTTGTGTCAGGTGGTTCTTTACCTTGTTAAGAAGTGCATTTAAAATCGGTGGTCAGCAGTCTGTGTACGTCATGTTTTGGTGATGGTACGGCTCACTAGCAAACTCACCCAAAGAGGTACTGTTACATTCCTGTACATTTCTGTGTTGCGTGATTATTATTTATATATATTTTTCTCGCTAGTCTCCCTCTTTCTCTCTCCGTGCTCGCTTGCTCTCTACCTCTCTCCCGCTTCCACCTATACAGTGGCTCCGATTGGCTACCGCTGCCCAGCTGTTTGCCGTGCCCCCCTTGACGTCACCCAAGGTCTCCAATCCAGCCGCTGCCACCGTGGCATAAAAGTGGTGACAGGACGCTACTCTGGAGGCCCTGAATTTCTGTGTTGTGCTGTGTGTCAGTGATTTTGATACATGTCTACTGTGTGTTACAATTTGGTATCTGTCCGTTATTTGCCTGTTCTCCATTTGTCTACCGTCAGTGTCATGCGCGAGAGTGGGACAGGTAAGAATGTCGCGCGACATACATTGTGCACAAGTAGTTTGAATATCTCTGTTAGTAGACACACTAGGTAGGGGGCGTGCTCCACCCACTGTACTTTTGTTTTTTTCTCATCAGATATTAGCGTAGGTTAGGTAGTGCGAAATAGACGCGAAGATTTCTTTTCAATAACTTGTAGTTTTCTTTTGGATAGTTAGGGTAGAGGTTGGGCCAAATAGATTGTTTTGTTTTATTAATTTCTATTGTTTGGACGATGCCCGCGTCTCATTTCCCAACTCTTCCACATCTGGTCAAACGTCTTATGTCTCATTTGTTATCTGTGAAATTCAATGTGTCTTTGTAAATATTTAATGATCTTTCTATATACATATATATATATATATATATATATATATATATATATATATATATATATATATATATATATATATATATATATATATATATATATATATATATATATATATATATACTATATATATATATATATATATATATATATATATATATATATATATATATATATATATATATATATATATATATATATATATATATATATATATATATATATATATATATATATATATATATATATATATATATATACACACACACGTGTCTGTGTGATGTATGTAAAATTTGGCCCGCGACAACGTTTATTTTTTTGCATCTGGCCCTCGGCCCAAAAAGTTTGGACACTCCTGCTCTACCCAAAGATGAAACTGTGAAAATTGAGTGGTTGAGGATTATTTTTGCAAAAATACCTCAGCATTACAGCCCAGCCTTGTGCAGTTCGAGTGCTTCTGGAAAATACATGCTTACAACGGAGAATTCATCGGCCGTTTGCAAAAGGAAGGATCAGAAAAGACTATTGATGTAATCATGGATCAGTTTCTTCCTTCATTTCACAACTGTAAGTACGTAAAATTGTTGCCGCCTCGTTTACTCTAGCTTGCAAATTATGTTTTTAATTTTTTTGTTACTTGTAACCGCTTGTACTGTATCAGGTTAACTCTTTATATTCTCATATCACATGTAAAGCCACGTAGAAAATGCGATGTGTGCAGCTTTGTTTATGGATTTAAATGCGCTTGTGAGTTCGCGTTGCACTGCCGTTTGTCATTGCTATGGCCATCGTCAGCTGTTTTTACACAAAATAGTTCAGCTCAGGTTCAGGG